TATATGCGCACTCGGGCGGGGCTCGAACCCGCGGCCACGGGCTAAAAGGCACGCGCTCTGCCGACTGAGCTACCGAGACGAATGCAGCACTTGACTAGTAAAAATGGACCCCTAAACTCTTCCAAGGCAATTTCCAGTAAACCATAGACTAAAAACCACTTATTGATGTATGCGCACATTGGACGGGGCTCGAACCCGCGGCCACGGGCTTAAAAGGCACGCACTTTGCCGACTGGGCTACCGAGGCGAATACAGCACTTGACCTAGTAAAAATGGACCCCTAAACTCTTTCAAGGCAATTTCCAGTAAACCATAGACTAAAAACCACTTATTGATGTATGCACACCTCGGGCGGGGCTTGAACCCGCGGCCACGGGCTTAAAAGGCACGCGCTCTGCCGACTGAGCTACCGAGGCGAATGCAGCACTTAAACTAGTAAAAGATAGACCGTTACACTCTTCCAAGACAATTCCCAGTGAACCATAGACTGTAAACCGCTTGATGATATATGCGCACCTCGGGCGGGGCTCGAACCCGCGGCCACGGGCTTAAAAGGCACGCGCTCTGCCGACTGAAATACCGAGACGAATGCAGCACTTGACCTAGTAAAAATGGACCCCTAAACCCTTCCAAGGCAATTTCCAGTAAACCATAGACTAAAAACCACTTATTGATGTATGCGCACCTCGGGCGGGGCTCGAACCCGCGGCCACGGGCTTAAAAGGCACGCGCTCTGCCGACTGAGCTACCGAGGCGAATGCAGCACTTGACCTAGTAAAAATGGACCCCTAAACTCTTCCAAGGCAATTTCCAGTAAACCATAGACTAAAAACCACTTATTGATGTATGCGCACCTCGGGCGAGGCTCGAACCCGCGGCCACGGGCTTAAAAGGCACGCGCTCTGCCGACTGAGCTACCAAGGCGAATGCAGTATTTGACCTAGTAAAAATGGACCTATAAACTCTTTCAAGGCAATTTCCAGTAAACCATAGACTAAAAACCACTTAATGATGTATGCGCACCTCGGGCGGAGCTCGAACCCGCGGCCACGGGCTTAAAAGGCACGCGCTCTGCCGACTGAAATACCGAGACGAATGCAGCACTTGACCTAGTAAAAATGGACCCCTAAACCCTTCCAAGGCAATTTCCAGTAAACCATAGACTAAAAACCACTTATTGATGTATGCGCACCTCGGGCGGGGCTCGAACCCGCGGCCACGGGCTTAAAAGGCACGCGCTCTGCCGACTGAGCTACCGAGGCGAATGCAGCACTTGACCTAGTAAAAGATAGACCGTTACACTCTTCCAAGACAATTCCCAGTGAAATATAGACTGAAAACCGCTTGATGATATATGCGCACCTCGGGCGAGGCTCGAACCCGCGGCCACGGGCTTAAAAGGCACGCGCTCTGCCGACTGAAATACCGAGACGAATGCAGCACTTGACCTAGTAAAAATGGACCCCTAAACCCTTCCAAGGCAATTTCCAGTAAACCATAGACTAAAAACCACTTATTGATGTATGCGCACCTCGGGCGGGGCTCGAACCCGCGGCCACGGACTTAAAAGGCACGCGCTCTGCCGGCTGAGCTACCGAGGCGAATGCAGCACTTGACCTAGTAAAAATGGACCCCTAAACTCTTCCAAGGCAATTTCCAGTAAACCATAGACTAAAAACCACTTATTGGTGTATGCGCACCTCGGGCGGGGCTCGAACCCGCGGCCACGGGCTTAAAAGGCACGCGCTCTGCCGACTGAGCTACCGAGGCGAATGCAACACTTAAACTAGTAAAAGATAAACCGTTACACTCTTCCAAGACAATTCCCAGTGAACCATAGACTGAAAACCGCTTGATGATATATGCGCACCTCGGGCGGGGCTCGAACCCGCGGCCACGGGCCTAAGAGGCACGCGCTCTGCCGACTGAGCTACCGAGGCGAATGCAGCACTTGACCTAGTAAAAATGGACCCCTAAACTCTTCCAAGGCAATTTCCAGTAAACCATAGACTAAAAACCACTTATTGATGTATGCGCACCTCGGGCGGGGCTCGAACCCGCGGCCACGGGCTTAAAAGGCACGCGCTCTACCGACTGAGCTACCGAGGCGAATGCAACACTCAAACTAGTAAAAGATAAACCGTTACACTCTTCCAAGACAATTCCCAGTGAACCATAGACTGAAAACCGCTTGATGATATATGCGCACCTCGGGCGGGGCTCGAACCCGCGGCCACGGGCTTAAAAGGCACGCGCTCTGCCGACTGAGCTACCGAGGCGAATACAGCATTTGACCTAGTAAAAATGGACCTATAAACTCTTTCAAGGCAATTTCCAGTAAACCATAGACTAAAAACCACTTAATGATGTATGCGCACCTCGGGCGGAGCTCGAACCCGCGGCCACGGGCTTAAAAGGCACGCGCTCTGCCGACTGAGCTACCGAGGCGAATACAGCATTTGTCCTAGTAAAAATGGACCTATAAACTCTTTCAAGGCAATTTCCAGTAAACCATAGACTAAAAACCACTTGATGATGTATCATACATCATGTATGCGCACCTCGGGCAGAGCTCGAACCCGCGGCCACGGGCTTAAAAGGTACGCGCTCTGCCGACTGAGCTACCGAGGCGAATGCAGCACTTAAACTAGTAAAAGAAAAACCGTTACACTCTTCCAAGACAATTCCCAGTGAACCATAGACTTGTAGCGAAACTCCCGCTCGGTAACACAACTGTCCGGGACAGTCTGTCCCATCTCCTCCGACACCCCACGTTGATACGTGGATAGTAACACAATCGCTGTCCCCTTATGAGGAAATCCCTCATGAAGGGATTGGACGATCGATTTCCGCTATTGTGTCGCTCTGTCTCTTTAACTTCTCTCAACCTTAACTCACTAACCTTCTACTAACTACTACTTCCACTACAACCCTATGTCTAGTACTCAGTCGTCAATTAACGGGGAAGGAGCTGCGACCATTACTACAGACTGAAAACCGCTTGATGATATATGCGCACCTCGGGCGGGGCTCGAACCCGCGGCCACGGACTTAAAAGGCACGCGCTCTGCCGACTGAGCTACCGAGGCGAATGCAGCACTTGACCTAGTAAAAATGGACCCCTAAACTCTTCCAAGGCAATTTCCAGTAAACCATAGACTAAAAACTACTTATCGATGTATGCGCACATCGGACGGGGCTCGAACCCGCGCCCACGGGCTTAAAAGGCACGCGCTCTGCCGACTGAGCTACCGAGGCGAATACAGCACTTGACCTAGTAAAAATGGACCCCTAAACTCTTCCAAGGCAATTTCCAGTAAACCATAGACTAAAAACCACTTATTGATGTATGCGCACCTCGGACGGGGCTCGAACCCGCGGCCACGGGCTTAAAAAGCACGCGCTCTGCCGACTGAGCTACCGAGGCGAATGCAACACTTAAACTAGTAAAAGATAAACCGTTACACTCTTCCAAGACAATTCCCAGTGAACCATACACTGAAAACCGCTTGATGATATATGAGCACCTCGGGCGGGGCTCGAACCCGCGGCCACGGGCTTAAAAGGCACGCGCTCTGCCGACTGAGCTACCGAGGCGAATGCAGCACTTGACCTAGTAAAAATGGACCCCTAAACTCTTCCAAGGCAATTTCCAGTAAACCATAGACTAAAAACCACTTAATGATGTATGCGCACCTCGGGCGGGGCTCGAACCCGCAGCCACGGGCTTAAAAGGCACGCGCTCTGTCGACTGAGCTACCGAAGCGAATACAGCACTTGACCTAGTAAAAATGGACCCCTAAACTCTTCCAAGGCAATTTCCAGTAAACCATAGACTAAAAATCACTTAATGATGTATGCGCACCTCGGACGGGGCTCGAACCCGCGCCCACGGGCCTAAAAAGCACGCGCTATGCCGACTGAGCTACCGAGGCGAATGCAGCATTAAAAGTAGTAAAACATAGACCGCTACACTCTTCCAAGACAATTCCCAGTGAACCATAGACTGAAAACCGCTTGATGATATATGAGCACCTCGGGCGGGGCTCGAACCCGCGGCCACGGGCTTAAAAGGCACGCGCTCTGCCGACTGAGCTACCGAGGCGAATGCAGCAATTGACCTAGTAAAAATGGACCCCTAAACTCTTCCAAGGCAATTTCCAGTAAACCATAGACTAAAAACCACTTAATGATGTATGCGCACCTCGGGCGGGGCTCGAACCCGCAGCCACGGGCTTAAAAGGCACGCGCTCTGTCGACTGAGCTACCGAGGCGAATACAGCACTTGACCTAGTAAAAATGGACCCCTAAACTCTTCCAAGGCAATTTCCAGTAAACCATAGACTAAAAATCACTTAATGATGTATGCGCACCTCGGACGGGGCTCGAACCCGCGCCCACGGGCCTAAAAAGCACGCGCTATGCCGACTGAGCTACCGAGGCGAATGCAGCATTAAAAGTAGTAAAACATAGACCGCTACACTCTTCCAAGGCAATTTCCAGTAAACCATAGACTAAAAACCACTTATTGATGTATGCGCACCTCGGGCGGGGCTCGAACCCGCGGCCACGGACTTAAAAGGCACGCGCTCTGCCGACTGAGCTACCGAGGCGAATGCAGCACTTGACCTAGTAAAAATGGACTCCTAAACTCTTACAAGGCAATTTCCAGTAAACCATAGACTAAAAACCACTTATTGATGTATGCGCACCTCGGGCGGGCCTCGAACCCGCGGCCACGGGCTCAAAAGGCACGCGCTCTGCCGACTGAGCTACCGAGGCGAATACAGCACTTAACCTAGTAAAAATGGACCCCTAAACCCTTCCAAGGCAATTTCCAGTAAACCATAGACTGAAAACCACTTATTGATGTATGCGCACCTCGGGCGGGGCTCGAACCCGCGGCCACGGGCTTAAAAGGCACGCGCTCTGCCGACTGAGCTACCGAGGCGAATGCAGTACTTGACCTAGTAAAAATTTCCAGTAAACCATAGACTAAAAACCACTTATTGATGTATGCGCACCTCGGGCGGGGCTCGAACCCGCGGCCACGGGCTTAAGAGGCACGCGCTCTGCAAACTGAACTACCGAGGCGAATGCAGCATTTGACCTAGTAAAAATGGACCTATAAACTCTTTCAAGGCAATTTCCAGTAAACCATAGACTAAAAACCACTTAATGATGTATGCGCACCTCGGGCGGGGCTCGAACCCGCGGCCCTGACATAGTAAAAATGGACCCCTAAACTCTTCCAAGGCAATTTCCAGTAAACCATAGACTAAAAACCATTTATTGATGTATGCGCACCTCGGGCGGGGCTCGAACCCGCGGCCACGGGCTTAAAAGGCACGGGCTTAAAAGGCACGCGCTCTGCCGACTGAGCTACCGAGGCGAATGCAGCACTCGACCTAGTAAAAATGGACCCCTAAACTCTTCCAAGGCAATTTCCAGTAAACCATAGACTAAAAACCACTTAATGATGTATGCGCACCTCGGGCGGGGCTCGAACCCGCGGCCACGGGCTTAAAAGGCACGCGCTCTGCCGGCTGAGCTACCGAGGCGAATGCAGCACTTCATCTAGTGAAAACGGACCCCTAAACTCTTCCAAGGCAATTTCCAGCAAACCATAGACTAAAAACCACTTATTGATGTATGCGCACCTCGGGCGGGGCTCGAACCCGCGGCCACGGGCTCAAGAGGCACGCACTATGCCGACTGAGCTACCGAGGCGAATGCAGCACTTGACCTAGTAAAAATGGACCCCTAAACTCTTCCAAGGCAATTTCCAGTAAACCATAGACTAAAATCACTTATTGATGTATGCGCACCTCGGGCGGGGCTCGAACCCGCGGCCCTGACCTAGTAAAAATGGACCCCTAAACTCTTCCAAGGCAATTTCCAGTAAACCATAGACTAAAAACCATTTATTGATGTATGCACACCTCGGGCGGGGCTCGAACCCGCGGCCACGGGCTTAAAAGGCACGGGCTTAAAAGGCACGCGCTCTGCCGACTGAGCTACCGAGGCGAATGCAGCACTCGACCTAGTAAAAATGGACCCCTAAACTCTTCCAAGGCAATTTCCAGTAAACCATAGACTAAAAACCACTTAATGATGTATGCGCACCTCGGGCGGGGCTCGAACCCGCGGCCACGGGCTTAAAAGGCACGCGCTCTGCCGGCTGAGCTACCGAGGCGAATGCAGCACTTCATCTAGTAAAAACGGACCCCTAAACTCTTCCAAGGCAATTTCCAGCAAACCATAGACTAAAAACCACTTATTGATGTATGCGCACCTCGGGCGGGGCTCGAACCCGCGGCCACGGGCTTAAAAGGCACGCGCTCTGCCGACTGAGCTACCGAGGCGAATGCAGCACTTGATCTAGTAAAAATGGACCCCTAAACTCTTCCAAGGCAATTTCCAGTAAACCATAGACTAAAAAGCACTTTATGATGCATGTGCACCTCGAGCGGAGCTCGAACCCGCGGCCACGGGCCTAAAAGGCACGCGCTCTGCCGGCTGAGCTACCAAGGCGACTGCAACTCTCAAACTAGTAAAAGTAGACCGTTACACTCTTCCAAGACAATTCCCAGTGAACCATAGACTGAAAACCGCTTGATGATATATGCGCACCTCGGGCGGGGCTCGAACTCGCGGCCACGGGCTTAAAAGGCACGCGCTCTGCCGACTGAGCTACCGAGAAAACTGCAACTCTTAAACTAGTAAAAGATAGACCGTTACACTCTTCCAAGACAATTCCCA